TGCCGGTATAACTTATTTTAAGCTGTGAATCGGAGCTCAACTTCAATATCGCCATCAAAGTCATTGAACGTACAAAGTCAACCAAGTGAAGACTAGTTATAATGCATTAACTTATCTTAAAAATCCGCATGGTGTGGGTCGAGTTTATTGAAAAATTTGATTAAAGAATTAAATGTCAGGGTGATGTTGCTAGGTGTTTTCTAGAAAATAATTACATAAATAAAGGCGTGATCACTGTATTGGGTGGGTGTGGTAAGAACGACAAATGGGCATATTACGAGAGGAATATGATAAATAAAAAGTAAAAATTATCCAAGGATATGTCTCCATGTTGACAAATCCAGTTGCAGAGACGTATCAGGTGTTCCGGGAGAGTGAACAGAAAACCTGTATCGCAAGCGACATCCACCATCAACTTTAACAGTGGAGTTCCAGCTCAAATGCGAGATATACCTTCAGTGAAGCTTTAATTTAGCAGTCCCCACACATTCTCTTTAACTGTAAATTAACACCTTATACCTGATACAATATAATGTGAATACAATGCACTAGAGAGAAAAGCCCCACTGGTGTTAATCTGAATGTCTATCGTTATGACACGAATTAATCTTTATGGTGTTTTATTGTACATTATTTACGCTAACAACGTAAACAGTAGGGCTCTCAATACACACCCCTGACGTACTTCTATTTCATAAAAAATCACCGAATAGTTGAATGAATGAACGCACATAAAATGTGAGTGAATACATGAATAAATGAGTGAATAATTAAATGAAAAAACATTAGGAAATTAAAGATGGATTGCAAAAGTAGTAACCAAGAAACTCTTACTTCTTTCAGGCAGATACTGAGGAACAAAAGCCAACAACACAAACCGAACAGATTGCGGAAAATACCGAAAAAACTACGGAAAATACCGAGCAAACTACGGAAAATACCGAAGAGTCAACGGAGCAAACTACGGAGCAGACTGAAGAACAAGCAAACGCAGACACCAAAGAAACCGTTGAAGAAGGCGCGGAGCAGACGCAGGAAAATGGAGACGAGACAGTGACGGAAGTGACCGAAGAACAAGCGGAAAATACCGACGAACAAACAGAAGATACTGAACAAACCGAACAAGTCACGGAAACAATCGAAGAAGTCGAAGAACCACCAGAAGAACCAGCAGCAGAACAGGGAGATGTGGTCGAAGAACAGACAGTTCAAATAGAAGAGGTAACGGAAGAGCAAACGGAACAGACCGAAGAGCAAACGGAACAGACCGAAGAGCAAACGGAACAGACCGAAGAGCAAACGGAACAGACCGAAGAACTAACGGAACAGACCGAAGAGCAAACGGAACAGACCGAAGAACAAACGGAACAGACCGAAGAGCAAACGGAACAGACCGAAGAACAAACGGAACAGACCGAAGAACAAACGGAACAGACCGAAGAACAAACGGACCAAGTAGTAGAACAAGAAGAGGAACCTCTGACCAATGGTGATGAAGCGCCAGCAGATCTCGACTTATCGGAAGAGAAAAAAGAAAGTAGGTATCATTTGATAAATATGACTTTGGTATAAATAGCATTCAGATTCAGATTTCAGGCTGTGCACGTTAAAAATCCCGCAGTTGCCTCGTTGAACACTGGATGGCGTTGTCCGTCTTCATTAGCCAAATCAGGCACAAAAAAATAGGACGAAAAACTCATTTCATATCATTTCTTTCAGAATTACGAGAAGTATTTGCCATGTATACAGATGATGATTTCATTGATTATAGAGGATTCAAAAAGTTAATACGATGTTTCGGTCAGAATCCAGTGGAAGCTGAATCTAGAGAATGGTACAGCAGTGCCGATCAAAATCGTAAGTATCTATGCTTTAACAGCATTCAGTTCATTAAGGATATGTCAAAAAATCATTGCCCCCATCAGGGATTACAGGAATGAACGAAAAATCAAACCAAATAAGCATCTTTGGTTATGTGGACGAACCAAAAGAGATGCCAAGTTGAATAACCCAGACGTAGATTGACATCAAACGTTCAAGAAGAATGTAAATGATTCGTCTAGCAAGCAACAGCTAACGCAGTGCCACCTCCAACAGTCAAAGGTCGACATTCTCATAACGATGCTCTCTCTATGGTCCGCGCTCCTTCCAATTTTAATTTACAAATCAATTTACAGAGGATGGGAAGATCAACTTTGAAGAATTCTGCAGATTGTTTTTGAAATACAAAGAACCTGAAGATGTCTTGAAAACCGAGATCTTGAACTGCGTCCGCAGGATCTTTCCGAATGAAGACGAAGAGATCGAGCTTAATAAGGTCATTCACATCATGTCCAAACTGGAGCGAGAAGCCAGCGATCTCTCTAAAGCTGATATTGAACGATTCTGCCAAGATATGGACATCAACGGCAATGGCAAAATTGATGCTGCAGGTAAGCTCGGGGTTGGTCTTAACCAATAAGAGTTAAGGCTGGTATTAATATAAAGGAAAAGCAGGAACTAGGTGGAGCTATGGTTAGCGTTGGACCTGAACAATGCGTTTACAGATATTTTTGACACGAAAGCGTCCTATCGTTGGTGTGCTTAAGGTCCTTTCTGAGCACTGTCAGGGATATGGATACTTATCAAGGCATTATTGAAAAGGGTTTATCTTTAGGCATTGTGAATAAGGCAACACGCATGGTGGATAAAGGTACACCACATGCAATATGAAACGTCTTCACTCGTGGTGGATAAGGGTACGCCTTCACTCGTGGTGGATAAGGGTACGCCTTCACGCGTGGTGGATAAGCCACATCTTCAGGCATTGTAAAATAAGGGTACACCTAACACCTAAACGAACGGGATTCCACTCACGATAATGCAAATATGGGTGCTTAAAGGCACAGAATATTAATAAATGTTTTTTATATCGTTTCAGAATTTGTAAGTGTTTTATGTGGTAGCGGAGTGAACGTGTAAAAAAATTGTGGAGATTCTCAAAACTGTTATCTTTTAACTATTGTTACCACGAAGTGCCAACTTTCTCCAGGAGTCAAACTTTCTCATTCCTTTTCGTCTACATTTCCCATCCTCCTTCACTACTAGCCTTCTGATGACTGTCTTGCTGAAACAAGCTGCTGTCCTCTCCGATAGGACATGTTGGTCCATATCCTCTTCGCAACAACAATTACAATAGCCGAGCTCATATTATCCTGATAAACTTCGTCAATTTCAAACAAGATGATCTTAAACATATATATCAACAGCAAAACAACGCCAGATGAGCTTTCACCAGAATAAGCTTTTAACTAGGAGGAGCTTTCATTCAGTGTAAGCTTTCAACTCGGATGGGCTGTCATCTAGGATAAGCTTACATCCTGTTTTTCATCAAGTATTGAGCTTTCCTCGGGGTGTATTAGTTAATAATTGTATATAATAATATTTATCAACTTTTTCTTTACTGCCTTTCTCTTGGATATTAAATGCACCTAAAATGGATTTTAAAAAGGGAAATTGAAGGCTAAGGCTATATTGTTAGTAGCATACGGTTTGTTTTTCGACCATCTGGGTCAAAAATTCATTACGACCATCTTGGATCGTAGAGCAATTAGGAACTAAGTAAAGGGAGACTTTTGTGGGATCGTATTCCAAAATGCATAAAGTTACGAATGATAAAACTGATGTTGTCCATTTCTATGGGAGGGACCCTCAGATTTAAGGGAAACAAAACTTGTAAGAATATAGGATTAGTCTTCGATTACTTTATGAAATCTTCTTTTTAAAGAAATATTATTACGACTTTGTAAATAATGGCACACATTTTAATTGAACGCAACATCTCAGCATTAAAAACCCTTTCCAGGCAGCTTAAAAAGCATTCAAATAGCACAATCAAAGCCAACCAAGATTATACCAATTATTATGTACATACTAAGTATTTTAGTAGTTTATCATAAGAATGTAATGGTACAAGCATTATGCAAATTTATGCAAATATATTCAAGTATTAATCCACTGTGATAATAGCCAATAAGATATATATATTATATAGATAGATATACCGCACAATATTATTAATTATTTGTTTTTTCTAAAATAAAATTTAGTTTTCGCTAAATTCCGATTTTTATTCGCCCAATGATTCTAGACAAATAGGGGAGGTGTATGATTGTAGATATTTGTGGGTCATACTTTGGACAATTGATCTAGCTACTGTGCTTTGTGTGCCGTGTATTTGTGTATAAATGGATTTTTCCCGATTTTTTGGATGTAAAAAAGGGGTGCGTATTATATTCGCAATTATATGATATCGGCAGTTTTCTCTGGTCAAAATGCTCTCAATTTTGATCACTGCATTTGCTACAGTACCATCATAACGACAAACAGTTTTATTGAATACATTCGGGTAGAGAGAAGCCAATTGGTCAGCCGGAAGCATAAAAGATGACAAAGTAAATGAGTGAATTTTAAAAAGGCAATTGGACACGCTAAAAGCGATAATAAAAATGGCTGACGTGTATGACAAACAGCATTGGTGGATTTTAAAAATTTATTTTGTATAAAAGGAATTAAATATACAATAACTTAAAAAGAAATATCTATTAATAAAAATTATTTTTATAAATGATTAGGTCAGCCAACCTGAAAAGGTACCAATCGTTCTACCTCAAAACAAAATAGACTGCTCCAGGTCGTTTGGAATCTTCCATGGATGTGCATAATGTCTCCTTATTTAACTGTTCTTATGTATGGAAATAAGTCAACATAACTAAAATACATGTACTGCCTGCCCTGATTTATAAATAAAGTCAGCAAGAACCATTTATAAACATGGCTGCAACAAAAATTTCACGAATTCTGAAAAAAAAAGAAAAATAATGAACATTATAGATGATCTAATGAACTAGTGAAAAAATTAATAAAAACCCATTCACACTGGCAGAAATAATTGAACATCCACTTCCCCTTCAATTTAAATTTTCTTGATGCACTTGAGGAAAAATAAACAGCTTAGGAACTAGGTTATTGCCATATAATGGATTGTTGTCAGGTGTCAATTTTTCTCCTTCTCCCTTTCTTTCTTTAAGGATATTACACCCTCAGAATATAATTTATACGACTGAGGGGAGATAACCAACCGTTGTAATCAATCTTGCCATCTCTATTTAAATCAGCCACTTTTATCATCAGATCTACCTCCTCCTCTGATAAAACTTCTCCAAACTTCGTCATCAGCCTTTTCAATTCAAACTTGTCTATATATTTATTGTCATCTCTATCCACTATTCTGGAAGATGGAACAAAAATAAATAATTAAGTATAAAAGGGGGATAATCAGCAAAAGAGTAAGCAGAGTTAAGTCAAGTATGTGGACTCTATGAAATGGACACAGCCAAAAAGAGCAAGAAGAGTTAGCAAAAGAAATCTTTCCAGTCATGGTTACATTGTTCCAGTTCATAAAGATTTCACCTCACCTAAAGGCTCTGATCATATCATCTTTCTCCTCTTCTCTAGATCGTTGTTTATTTTTCATCAAAGCCACAAATTCACTGAATTCTATTTTACCATTTTCTGTAAAAAAAAATTAAAAAATTCCCAATTCAATAAATTGTTGGTGACATTGCAAAAATTATGAGGGTTGGTTTTAAATCATGAAACACCCAACAGCTCCTTGATGAGATATTTTTGCCTTTACTTTGTGTCTCAGACCTTTAAAATTGATTCAAAATATTTAATTGTTGTGTGAGAGCTGTTGACAACATGTACTTGATTTTCAAGTGAACACATCAACTTCAAAATTTTGTAAGTAGTAACACCTAGAAACAACATGGCGATAGAGTATGAACTGTCGATTCCCATTCCAAGTAAGAGGACTCACTATTTTTATCAAGTTGTGTAGCTATTTCTTTAATTTCTTTCTCAGTGGGATTCAGATCTAGCCCTCGTAACACTACCCCAAGTTCATCAGTTGAAATGTAACCATCTTTATTGGCATCAAATAAATCGAATACCTCCTTCCAAACTGAAATAAGACAAATTTTAATGGTACAACTTACTTCTGATCAGTTCAAGTCCTTTTGCCATGGCCAGTTACTTTGTGAGTTGGTCTAGCTTTCAACCCTTTAATCTAATAGAAAAACTAACATTATGGCCATTTCTAAAACAGTTTCTAGAGTATGTGATAAAATTATGATAATCTAATTATATTGCCATTGGTTTCAATTTTTATTCCTAAAAATTTACCTTTGATTTTTTCTTCCTCTTCTTGTTTACTTCCCTACAACAAATAAATAAATAAACAAATAAATAAAACAACAAATAAATAAATAAACAAATAAATGTTGAATGAATGAATGAATATGTGAATGAATGAATATGTGAATGAATGAATGAATGAATGAATGAATGAATGAATGAATGAATGAATGAATGAATGAATATATTTAATAACTAAAAAGCCAGGTTATTTATATTCAGATACAAATAATTATTGCAATTTAGTGGTAGTTTAAAGCATAGCCTATACATATTGTAGCTAAGGGGAGGCAGCTATGCTTTCTACTGGCCTCTTAATAGAGCTTTTGTTGGTTCCATAGAAATATAGAAAAACATGCTCAAACAGAAAGCAATATATGCATTACTCGTTCAGTTTACTGGCCTACACTAATAAATAGCTTTCTTAATTAGAATTCAACTAATTAGGCTCATAGCCAGTTTTGCCTATCAAATTCAAAGGCTGGGATTCCACTTGGCCCATTTCCTATAACTTACCATTGTTAGGTCATAAATTATACCTAATTATACCAATCACAAATCGTTTTCCATGAATAATAACAAATTATCGATTGGATAGCAATGATCTCCAACGTAAACAAAACACAGGTATTGATTACAATCTTGATTATCTAGTCTCTTTTTTCTATTAAAATGTCTACGGACGCACCTGTAAACTGGATAACATAGACTGATCTTCAGCACTGGTTTTGATTGTCAAGTCTCTTTTTTCTATTCTTATGTCTAAAGATGTACCTGTAGACTGGATAGCCAAGTCTGGTACTGACTTATTTATTAAACCAAAAGCACTGGTTTTCGAAAGTAAGCCCAATTTGAGTATTAATTTTAGTCAACAGCCCAAAATCTATAATTTCGATGTTATGAATTACATAATAAGTGTTTTGCAATATTAATCAGGACACAATTCTATTTCGTTCGTTTGGTGTTTTAAATATTCAAATTTTCTAGGTTCTCAAATTTGTAAGAAACCTGTTTATATCCGGTAGTCGCGAGTTATTATTGCATCAGGCGCGAGTAATAAAGTGAAAGTAGGAGAAAATGGATGAAGAGGACTATGAATTCGGCGAGGAAGAGAACATAGGCACAGAAATTGAACCGGGAAAAGAACCGAAAATTCCAGAAATTAAATATGAATGTAAGTTTATAAATTCTTATAAAAATCGTGACACGAAATTGTTTTGATTTGTACAAATGACAAGCAATGCTTGGCAAGTGTCATAACTTAGATCCAAATGTTGCAATGTGTTGACTTGCCGAGTTTTTTTTAGTCATAACAAATCACCTAATGATGGACTGACAGATGACAAATAAATTTGACACGCTTAAAAATGATGTGTCGAACATTAGTATTTATAAACATTGAAAATATTGTATTCTATATCACAAAATAGTAGACCCTATTCCCTTGGCCTTATTGATGATCAAATTTTAGCCTTTTAGAGTCTTCTCTGTCACCTATTTTAGCTTCAAAGGAATTCTCCCTACCTCTCTGACATATGATTAAGCTTGAATTATCACCCCAAAGGCAATAGGAGGCAATAAGAAGGGGTGAGATGGATTCCCCTTGGCTTTTCTCTAGAAGAAGTTATTGAATTCTTAATATTCCTGTATCTAAACTAACATTATTCCAAAGCATTTGTCTTTGAAATCTGAATTATTTTTCCATTGTAGATTTAGATCACACTGCAGATGTACAGTAAGTTTATCATATTTACCAAACAGACTATGACAGGTCTAATTAAGATTGCTTGTGAAATTTGTTTGCAAAAAAAAGAAGCCAAGTAAAGACTAAAGTTCATTTCATTAGTTAAGTAAAGATGGTGCTCAAATCAATATTTTTTATTCCTGTAATTTAATTTTTTTAAATTATATTTTTCAGGTTACATTCCTGTATCCTTTGTAAAAATAAATTGAAGAGGTTCTCAAAAGATTCAAGGCATAGAACTCTTGCAATAAAAACAAATTTAGATAGAAAAACAATGCAAAACAAAGAAATGTAGCTCTAATTATCTTCAAAATGTCAAGCAAGCACTATTCATTTTAAAAAGCAGTTAGTAATAGTTTGACATAGTGAAGATGACTTAAATTAATGAAATTATCTAATTTCTAGTGTCCTTATCATCTAGGATTTCCTTAACAATATTCAGCTGGAATTACTTTAAAAGAATCTTTTGAACAGGTGAGGAAGACCTAATAAAAATTTAATCCATTTCCCAGCTAGGTAACATGATTGGATCCACTTCCAGCTCCTGATATTACAACACATCTATAGTTATGTATGTGTAATGAAACGTTGTGTTCAATAATAAATAGAAGTCTATATCCATAAAAACTATTTTCTGTTTCTTAATCTATAGTCCTATATAAAAGCTCAATGATTAATCAACATTGAAGCAATTTTCAATGGACAATTTGCAAATGAAATGGAGTATAACATCCTAGTTTTCTTCATCAGATTTAGTGAGCACTGTGTGCAATGAGGGAAATTTTCACCAAGGCCTCAATTAACAGTCACTGCTACAGAGAAATACTAGATATGTGCTACATTTGGTGCATTTTGAAACACAAACAATGGCATGGTCCATGGCATGGTTTTATATATAATCTTCATCAACTCCAATATTTTGAAATGTTTTGTCTTGCAGGTGGCTACAGCTATGTTTAATTATATGACAACTGATTATGATAAGGTGGAGATGAAATGGTGTCATGAGATAGTAGCTAATGGTGAGTCAGATGAAACAATGGGGTGGGGGGCAAGAAGCAAAGATCTGGGCCTAGATCAAGAAATAATACTTGTTCCCAAACTTCAGACTGAATCTTAAGATTTAAGATCAAGATAAGCTGTATTCTTTAAAATATTTTTCAGGTGATGATCTCCAAGGGTTGTTATACCATTTTTTAGATGAGTTTTTATTTTTATTTTCGGCAGAGCCATGTATAATACCACGAGTAAGTGATTATTTTTATTAATCTGAGCAAAAAACTCCCCTCCCCGCAAAAAATCCCCTCCTCGCAAAAAATCTTTGTCTACAAGTGAAGTCATCAATTTTAGTAGAGAGGGTGTTTGCATCTGAAAATGGTTAGACCAGCATTTTGAAGAGATGACAGTAATTTTTGGGCATAATGATCAAAAATTAACAAATTGGGATGATGTCCTCTGCCCTTCCAAAATAGTTCCAGCCTCACACCAATGGTCTTCAGAATTGTTCCTCTTCCTATCATGCAGCATGGTTAAAATCCAGCTCCTTTATTTAATGAGAGAGAACTCCATAAAATCCTACACATACTATTGTCTTATTGCTCTTTGAAAGGTTGTTGAAATAACAGAGTTTGATTTAGAGAAGTTTCATATCAAGGCTAAAGGGTAAGCAATCATTTCAATTCTATGTACTGGAGTAGAGCTTCAGCCTTAAAACTGAAGAAGATGTGGTCCAGCTGGTACTTGCAAATATGTGGTCCCAATCATTCCAGTTCTTTGCACAATATGTAACTGGGCAAGACAGCATGGGGCTTGGGATGTGGTACCAATATGTGGAATAATGCTGAAGTTTTAGCTCCAAAATTCTCCACTTTCTTTATCTTTTGCTAGGAGAGCAGGCCCTCATTTGTTAGAACTTAAAGAATTCCTTTTTCTTTCAGCTATGGTGAACCATTTGACATCCATAAACATCCTCAGGGCACAGAGGTCAAGGCCATTACATATTCCGCAATGCAGATACTGGATGATAAAGACACACATGATATTTTTGTAGTCATTGACATCTAGCCTTTTTTTGTAAATCGCTCAATTACTTCATACTTTAAAAACACCCCATTTTTGAAAATGTGAAACTTTCGGTTATTAATTCTGATAACATTACTATTACTCTCTTAAAAGTAATTAAATACAATTACTTTTTCATGATAACATTACCTTTTCTGGATTTTGAAAGAGTAAAAGTTCACTCCCATAGATACAACTTTGCTAATTACTTTATAACAATTACTTTTTCGAGATTCAATTACTTTTTCATGATAAATTACTCTTTCTAGATTTTGATAAAGTAATTGTTAACTCATATTACAACATATATTAATTTTTCATAAATCTATTTATTACAAGAACAAATATGTTTTTTATTTTACAATAAATGCTGTTGTTTTTAATCTTGTCTTGGTCATATTTAGGGCTTTAGGGCTAAACTACCATTAGGGACTGGTAGAACCACTTCCACAGGCCACCATCCCATGAGAAAAGGACAAGATCTAACCATTTTAATTGCTTTGAAAGTCATTTCCTTTATAGAAACTTTTCATACCTCAAACAAGATATTTAGTGGTTGTATTTACAAATAACAAACATACCACTAGCCAGAAAAATAGAGAAACTTCTCTAAAATGAAGTCTTGGATCTCGGAACAACCAAAACCTTTGGTGTCATGATCAATGGGATAAAGTATTATCTAGCAGCTGTTATCATGTGGAAGCTTTCATTTTAATTCATTTTTAAAATTGAAATTCTGATTCCAGTTTTTTTCACCACTCACAGACTCTCTTGAAACCTGTAATAGTCTTTTAGAGAAGTCTTGGCCACATTAGCACAAAATTCCTCATTAGTTCCACTAACTAATGCATTAAATGATACAAAATTTTCTCTCTGGGGATCATACTGGGCACGGTTCACTTTCAGCAGGTATAAATGTCTATTTTGAATAAAACGTAGTCTGGATTTAAAGACATGACAATTTTTAACGATTGTTTTGTGGTCGATTTCCATGGTGTTGTGTAAGTAATCGAATATTTTACTAAGATGGCTTGGACCTAAAAAAAATTAAAACCAGCTTAGAATTTGGGAAAAATTACTCAGAATTGGTGTAAAATGGTTCAAAATTATTCTTCAAATTTTGTCCTATAAGAACCAAATTTTTATGCTCATCTGCAAAGTATTCCAGCTTTATTTCAAATAATGTCCATGATGACTTAGATCCCCAAGGATCCTATAACTTAACTTATCTTTCATAAACCTAAATAATAATCTATTCTGAATTATCTGTACCCTTTGGCAACAGTAGCCTGTGGCCCCCCTGCTAAATTTTGTGGCCCCTGCTTGCTCCCCTCAACTAAAGTTCCTCAGAAGCCTCACTGGTTGAAAGTGTGTCAAATAATAAGGAAAGAATGCAGCCAATTTCACCAGATTTTTTTCACTCTCAGATGAAGACTGAAGGTCAAGGCTACTCTATATTCTGTGTGTGTGGAAGTCTACTCACTTTTCATAAAGAAGCCAGGATAGTCTAGAAGAATGGTCTTTAACTCCATGTGACTAAAACCCAGAAACTCTTTACAATGGAATTTATTTTCCTGCAAAGCAAAGTTAACAATATTTTAGAGTTAGAAAAAGCTGGACTGGTTTTGTGGGTTCTCTGAAGGTTTGTTCAGCTGCCAAAACTCAATTGGACAGTAGCATCAGGTGTTTTGGAATAATAAGCATGACTTGCCTAGAAAATGACACACAAGACAGTCCTTAGTGCACTGGAGCTCCATTAAATAAAGCCACTGGCCTAGAACTCAACAACTTAAAGCTATTAAGGGGGACTACAAGAATGAATCTTTTCCAAAGCAGTTAAAAGTTACCTTAATCAACTGCAACATGTGTGGTTTATTCATCAGTTTTGGAGTTTTGGTCAGCACCTCTCTGACTTCTTTTCCTGTAACATAAATACAGTATTATGATTTATCTACCCAACCTGGGTAGTTTTCACCCCCTGGGGGTGTGAAACTAGGGTGTCAGGGGTGTGGCCAGCTGGTGTAGGAGAAGAATTCATTTTTAATTGAGAGAGCACCTCACATGATCACATGCTGAAAATGGGGATGAAACAAATTTTTGGGGTTGTGAAAGGTCCAGGTGATTGCTCCAGGGGTGTGAAGGCTGAAATAGGTTGGGAACCACTGATCTAGAATGACCTATTGAATTATATCTAGAATTAGAACACCCTATAAATTAATATAGAATGACCCATTAAAAAAGATATAGATTGACCTAAATAAAACTATTACAGAATCTACCTAGATTGACCTTCTAAAATCCACCTAAATTGATCTTAACAATAACCTATTAGTATTTACCTGATAAACTAAACATTTTCTGTAAATGGCCCAGTTTTTCATCCACAGATTCCACATCCATCAACAAGATCCTGGAATTGCTGATGATTCTAGACACATCTTTGGATTCAAAACCTTTAGATTTCAGGTAGTTTAAACGATTTTCCAACTCGGCCAAGTCTATCAGTACAATATCCATATTCTTGGTCAAGTATTGTCCAATATTTTCAACATCAAGCCTGGCCAGGAATAACACATGAGGAGCAATATGTTTTTCAAAATCACAAGCCACTAGATATTTGGCTATGCCTTTCCTTTTTTGAACTACACTCAAGTCAACTTGCAGTGCTATTAATTTTTTAAGGCATTTATTTTCATTGACTAATGCTGCAAAGCTGAAGACCTTGGGAAAGATTTTCTTTGGCAGTCTTTCATGGATATCCAGTTTTGTAGTAGTTTCGATTGGTTCCAATTCAGTGATACGATGATCTGACATCTTCAATACTTCTTTGAATTGTGAAGCTAAACTGGTTTGAGTTGCAGAATGTGATTCTGAAAGGAATTCAGTAGAAGCATCTGAAGCTGAACCTGAACTGGTTTGAGTTGCAGTGGTTGATTCTGAACCTGAACTGGTTTGAGTTGCAGTGGTGGATTCTGAACCTAATCTAACTTGAGAAAAGTTCTCTGATGCTGACCCTAAACCCGTTAGAGTTGAAGTCTCTGATCCCAAACCAGTTTCAGGTGAAGTACCGGTATTTGATTCTAAACTTAACCTTGTCTTCTTTGGAACCTCAAGAGGCGCTTTGGCTTCTTCCACTTCTGTTAGATTTTTACTTGAATCTGGAGTTGTGCTGTAAACTGCTTTTGATCCATGACAACCATAACATGACCTGAGGTATTGAGAATTTAGAAGGAATTTTCTTCCTCCTGATACCAATGGCAATGCTTTTAACATTTTTAAAGTTTATATGTCATGGACAATTCTGAAACAGAACATATAAACGGTGTTAAGAGCCTGCACCTGCACACTCACAGGCTAATGAAGACTAGCAACATTACACAGTGGACTATGAGGGAAATACTATATTAGTTGACATAAATATTCTGTTATTAACTTTAGAGTTCCAGATACGTAGTTATCGCCAGTGCCATGGACTCATGGAGATATTAATTGTGGTCTGGTACGTAATTAAACGCATAAGACATCATTTATTTTATAAGTGTGATTTGCATATAGATGACAACGGCATGAATACATTCTCTAAGGACATTTTACCTGGGATTTGGTGAAACTAGACAGCTTAATAACTTACAAAAACCTTTATCAACAAGGTTATTAACTTCACCATGCTGAGTAGCCATAAAAACGGTTTGCGCATGCCCAGAAATTAAACATGGCGGCTCCTACAACATAAACAATAATGCAGTACAGTCAAGTAACCTAATTTCGTGCTAACCTATTTTTCGTGCATCTCCGGAAATATAAATAATTCACATGCGCGACCTCGACTGACCTCTGCATTTGCATGTTTTGATAAACATAGGTTATCTCTACAACGCCAACCTGAAAAAAAAATTGTCGTTTCAAAGCCACGTCAAATTTATTATTTATTTCTAACATGAAACAAAATGACGGATTTCAGTTATTACCAAATAGCCTATCACAATTTATATCGGCCGAATTTCCTGATAATTCCAAGCTCTAATCGGAATTTCACGTGTTTACAATAAAATTCTTAGGGGAATAACTTTGACTGGAATTTTTTAAAATGTATATTACGAAGTAGTTCAATTAAGTGACCAATTTAAAGAATTGCACATCTGAATAATAGGACAGAAATGAGGAAGTTTCGGATTAGATAACTCATTAGTATAAGAAGAACTTAAAAAATCCAAGCTCTCGCAGGTATTACGTCATAATAGAAACCCACGTAAAAGAAGCAGATGTAACTAAAACTTTTATAAGGCACTTAACAGCCACAAGGAATAGGGCGAACGGAATGCCTTCAAAGGGATACGATACTTTGTCCGTAATAGTGGTCGCCTCGACCCTATGTTTGGGAACTTTGTTGGTCAGTCACCAAACGGTTGGAGATAAAGACCTAAATTCAAAGGAAGAAACAGTAAGTACCTACAGAGATATAATAAAATATAGTCGAAAGTTTGGCATATCTTCAGTCCTCCCTACTTCCAGGGGAAAATCCTGACCACTTATCGATATTAGATTGATTTACATCATACTTTTCTGCCCCGATCGGACAAATGAAGACGACGAACTCCATGCAGTGTGTATTAAGGGAAATCTTGTCCGAGCAGCGAGAGATACCTCAATCTCTAGCAGAATGATACCCCCTTCCCTTTCAACAGATAGGAAAGGTCAATTCCCTTGTACAGTGTCTCCTTTGTTTGTAAACAAATCGTTAGCAGTATGATACTTCGGGCTAAATATAGCTGAGATCTATTTACGTCGAGATAGAAAGGTTACTTGGCCAAGGGTACATCGTCAGTAACACTAACAGGTGCCAAAAATATCATGGAATTTTCTGATATTGAATAAGAACTCCGTTGTATAACTTATATATAAAGAGATATCGTAATCTAATCGGTGGTTATTTCGATACACAGTAAACTAGCAGTCTGTTGATTGTCTTCAGCGTTCTGCAGTTTGTTTTCAAATTTGTTTGGAACGGAGTCTGTTTCTAATCCTGGGCCTTTAAAATCTTTTGGATTTGAAATAAGTTTTGTGAAATATATCGGATTATGGAACAAGTTAAGGTAAGAAGCGTCGTCTTGGAATTTTTTTTTTTCGAACATAAGGTCTTTCGGAGCAGATCAACCCTTCGTAAAACCAGACACTACTTGTTTGTGCCTTTGGACCTAAACATTAGGACCTTTGTACCAGACGCATACGATTAAAACGTCGCTAACCAAGAGGTTCGGTCAAGGACCAACTGGAAGAAATGATCCTTAATTGTGAACCTAAGTTGTTATCCTTGTAATATATAATTACAATTTTTCTAGGCAATGGATGGGAAACCAGGCTTTGATGACATCATAGATGTCAAAGCTCAAGGAGAAGACGGAACCCAATCTAAAGAAGACTTCCTAATTTGGCAAATACATTCATGAACTCATGAACAGGAAGATTAAGACATCCAATCAAATCATTCCTAGGCTTAATCCAGGGGAGAATACTCTACAAGGATCATAACAAAATAGGCAGCCTTGATGTTGCCGAAAGCCATATCAATGCAAACTACAAAATGATACCGAAACAGAATAGCACAGCACTTAGCACAATGTCAAGAAAGAAATTTTTAGATTCGAAAAGAAACTCCCTTCCATTTCATTTTCATTTTCATTTCATTTTCATTTCATTTTCATTTTCATTTTCATTTCATTTTCATTTCATTTTCATTTCTTTTTCATTTCATTTCATTTCATTTCATTTCATTTCATTTTCATTTCATTTTCATTTCTTTTTCATTTCATTTTTACTTACATTTTATTTTACTTACATTTTATTTTACTTCATTATATAAATTTTTTGATTTTATGCTATCAAAGATACAGTTTTTGTTACTGTACTACGATTGTTTTTCCAAATGAAACACAACAGAATAATGCAAAGGATAAAAAAGTTCGGTTACATTATTTCATTTATTTCATTGAAAATACATGGCAAAAAATAATTTATTTTCCATTTGAATTTACCCATTTATTTCTCCTGGACTTTTTAGAATTGAGTTTGTGTTGAATTTTATGATTTTAGAATTTGAATTAAGTATGTAAGTGAAATTACTATAAATAATTTTGTGAATTTAACTTTTCTTGTTCATTTCATTATAATGGCGTCAATGATAAACAACACCCCCTCTTCCTCCAGCACACCCTTTATTCTCTAGACTGGAGGCATCTTCACAACGTCAAGCAATTCCGAACTTCGTCTTATACCTTATACTTGACCTTTATTTTTGTATCAAGGAATGTAGCGATTAGATTGGATTGTACGCTAACAAATACAGCCAATCAGAATCCCCAAAGCCATAATGTTTACATTCTTTCTGTCGGGCTCTGATTGACTGTATTCACTGACGGTTCATTTACAAACTTCTATGATACGAGAAAGGTGGCTAGGGTAGTCAAGGTATAACACGAAGTTGGTAATAGCTTGTCTTTGTGAAGATGTGGTCGTCGAGTGGTAACAGAAGCCAAATAGAACAGTTAGTTTAAAGTTTATTACAAAGGTACATAAAGAAATATTATCATTAGTAAAATATACAATAAAAACACCAATGGTTGAAATGATTCACGATGCACACAATCAGTGATAACAACCCACAGAGTCGGTTGAGTCGACCAGAATCGCAGCCTAGGTCCGTTATAGGCAACCAGAGACCATGGGAGATCCTTCCGACCATTGACATACGGAGGGAGGATACGACAATTCCTTCTGGCTTTCGGCCTATTCTAACGACAGACAAATGCCATCGTTTCAAGCACTATTTGGTACCTGGTTTGACACGTTCCCTTTGACTCAAAGACGATTCTGACCACAGACAACAAACATCGCATGCTACCTGGCCATCAACAAAAAATCTGCGTTTGTAGAGTTGTTCTTAGAGCCAAAGAGCATGTTGATAAAATATTCATAAATGGGAGGTCTATCGACTAATCTGCTTGTCTTCTGATTGTGGCTCTGGTACAATTTGCAACCGATTGTGTAAGACTATTTTGAGACACTTTAGCACTTTTATATAAGAATATACACTTAATTTACATTACAAATTACTATATATGGTGTTAGTCTAGTTTTATCAGAAATCAAATGTCTTGCAAAAGGAAAACGGGATCGACCATCTGCATATTTGCACAGAGAATAAAGCCATTGACTCCTCAGTTAAAATATAGGCCGAGGACAACATTTCGAACGCAACCATTTCAGCCATGTGGACAAGACTAACACCATATTGGCTTTGCTATATAAACATCTAAAAAAAAAATCTAAATATATACACTAGAAAATACTAGAGAGCAAATCTTAGAAATTATGATTTTGGCATCCTTAAAAATGAGAGTTAAAGCCCTTTAATGCAAAATCAGAAAATGGAAGACGTGCCTTTTATTTTTGGTCAAAGAAATGCTGAAATATGATTGGATAATACAGGCAACCAATGAATGAACTCAATTGCAATAATCTGATTGGTCAATTCGAACTGTTAATCAGGGCTAATTGACCAATGATATTCCTCTCTACACCAAAGTTCTGCCAGATTTTAAGAAACTGGTATGAAAATCAGTTATTTCCCCTTTCTTTTTTCACGACTTCCGCTATCCAATAAAATCCAAGTTGAGCACCAATACAACGTGTTTGATTTAGAAACTTTGGTCGACACTCAAGTACAAAACGGTGCTGTGCATATTACGAATAGATTGCTTTTATGAAAAATTGAAAATAGACAATAAATAAATGATCTACAAGTCAAAACAATCTGAACCAAAGTTTCGTTTCGTTTCTACTATGGTTATAGTTTG